AGAGAGAGAGAGAGAGAGAGAGAATGGGGCCCGAAGTACTGACAAAGTGGGATCAGGTGCGAATGTATCTGGTGTAGACAATGAACCAGATACATACATTCGCACTTTGGTGTGCCGAGCAACACACACACACACACACACACACACACACACACACACACACACAGAGAGAGAGAGAGAGAGAGAGAGAGAGCGCTAACAGGGGGCACGTACTGACAAAGTGGGATCGTTTTAGAGCTCGAACCCATTCCCGCCAGAAGCCAAAAAGGGAAAGAAATAAAACAAAAAAACGGGAGGGCCTGCTACTGGTGCCTCTTAGCCCAGGCCACCTCCCGTTTTTTCCCTTTGTCAAACGGGTAGGCCGTCTACCGTGCAGGGGCACGGTTCCACTAGCACACGAGTCATGGCCTATTTGGACCTGTGCGGCACTGTAAGAAAAGGAAGAAAAGTAATTTTAAAGACTTAAAAAAAAGAAAAATGGCGACGGTACATTTCCCAAGATTTCCCAAGATGGGAAGAAGTCGGACTTTTGAAAGTGCAGCCGTCCCACTAACCCTCCCGTCTCCACCCTCTGCTCCCCACCCAGCCAATACCTAATCAGAACAGAGTGGTACGTTACTGTTGCAGTCTCGCATACCACCTCGAGGGAGTCCCTTCGTGTGCCTGATGGGACTCCCTCCTCTGACGGTTGCCATGCTGAAGCGTGCATTTCGTATATTTTGAGAGAATCTAAGTACTGGATGGGGTTAACTTTTGACCCGGAAAAAGAAGGGGGTCAAAATTATGCCCTTCGAGTACTTGATTTTTTTTTTTCTTTTGAAGAGCTGCCAATTAAAATGAGTCTTATAATTTTCTTTTCCCGCCATCGCAGATGACCTCACCGTGGCATGTACCAATACCAGAGAATCTCTAGAAGAACTTCATAATGTATTAGAAAATTACTGTCACTTATCTGAAGCATAAATCAGTGTTCCTCTTGCCCGCTCCATACCACTTAGCCTCAGACTGGAGTATGCAGCAGGTACCAATTCAAAGTTCGGAACGCCTCCTGGGAATCCAAGTCTCACTTGCAGACGCATCATCAGTCCAGGACTCTATACTAACATCCAAGGTAATCTCCCGCATCGTAAACTGGGAGAAAAACTACACTCTTTCTCTGTTTGGAAGGGCCTTAGTTCTGTCCTCGGCAGCCTTCTCTCTTTTATGGTTCCCATGTACTGTACATTTGCTGGGAGAGGCGGCCTACAAAGCCATAAAGAGAGCGGCTACCAGATACCCATGGAAGTCGAAAGCTATGGAGGAACAGGAAGTCATGTCCAAAGTAGCGTGGGAATGAATCTCAACCAAAAGAGACCAAGGGGGCTTAGGGACCCTAGACCCTAACCTGCAGAACAGAGCTCTCCTCACAAAATGGCAGATCAAAGGAATGCTAGACGACCAGCACCACCTTTGGAAACAAGTGGCTGAAAACATCCTTGCTACAGAATGGGAGTTAACGGCCCCTAAAGATACCTGGAGATGTCTGGAAATTCCTACATTTGCAAAGAAGAGACCTAAGAGTAAGCTATGGAAGAACTTACTCTTCACATGGAGCAAAATGCTACTCAACGCTAGGGAGAAACCAACTACTAAGTCAGAAATCCTACTCCAAGCCTCCAACCCTTAGTTGACAACCCTCTGATACTGCAAGACGATTTCACTCCGTTCTTTTTTTTTTTTTTTTTTTTTTTTTTTTTTTTTTTTTTTTTTTTTGAGAAAAAAGCCCAAGCGCATGCTAGAGGTGCTGATAAGAGCAGACACCGCTTGCACGGTCAGGAAGGCTCCATCTATTGGTGGGGAGCAACACCTGCTGGAAATCGAGTCCAGCGTCCCTGAAAACACCCAGATTATCATAAACGTGCCACATGTTACATCCTTCATCCTAACCAGCTGTGATGGCAACACGAAACACGCACCATTCAACACGACGAGCAGCATTGATTGCCCTCCTTTCAAGGGAATTAACTGCTAATCGCAATCTAAAAAATTATTCCTATTCTGGAACCCTCGTCATATGTCGTACCAAAAATCACACACCGCTACGAGGGGAAGGGGTAATCAGAAATAGGGGAATTGTAGCGATCCCACTTCCGGAGTCAGCAGAGAACCACCTGGACCACCCCAACTGCTGAGCACAAATGTTCCCCCATGGCGCCACGTGGCAAATTGTAACAAGAACACTCACTATTAGTGCCCTCGTGGGAGCACCGGGAATCGCGAGTTATACGTTGATCACCACACACTGGTAGCGAAATCCTACCCAAAAAGTTGCACTGCCAGGTAAACAGAAGATAGATCGATTATTATGGCTAACCCCATCATCGTCACCAAGTTGTCTCTCCTAAATTATCCGAAAAGAGATCGCACCGTCCACAATTAAGCGGAAACCTCACTAGGAAAGATGCCCGTTTTCAGGCCCTAATGCGTCATACATTGTTAACACGTGGCTAGAACGGGTTTTTCCACGTGGCAGCCTACAGGTGAGGGGAAGCAAATCCAATATCAAACGAACCTCTAACCCACCCCCTCACGCACCCATCCCACCCATGCCTGTCTCCCACACCCATCCTCTCGCCATCCCCCCGAATCGTCAGCACGATCACAAAGAAGAAAGGACCGTGGGGGAGAAAAGGGAGGAGGGGAGAAAACAGAAACCCCCACCACACTCACCAAACCGACGGCGCTGATATTGTTGTTGTTGTTTGTGTTGTTGCCGTTGTTGTTGTTATTGTTGTTGTAGTCCAGCACGCACGAAGACGCACTTTGCACACACGCACCGGCGGAATAGTCAACGATTGTGGTGTTGCTGGTGCCCACAGACCCTACTTCGTAGTTGCCAATGGTGTTATTGCTGTCATTCTTGTCATCGATGTTGTTGTTGTCACATGCGCCCGAGCTCGCGAACTCCATGTTTGAACCACAGACCGGCACGAGATTGTTATTGTTGTTGATGTGTTTGTCGGCAGTGAGGGCATCATCCACACGAGCTTGGCCCCCTTCAAGCTCGTCGGTGCTGATGATACATGCGTCAATATTATCTTCATCCCCCGTCTCCAGGTGCAGGTACCACTCCTCCTCCAGCGCTGCAAAAACATCTTGCCCCTTCTCAAAGATGTCGTAGCAGCGCCGCATCAGAGTCTCTTCCTGTTGATCATCCATGAGACCTCCCCATTCCAAAGCTGACCCCTCCTCCAGCTCCCAGATGACCTGCAACATATTCGTCATCCCACCCTGAAACGGCGGGTTCGATGAAGCTGCCCCCCCATCAGCCACAAATTGAACCCCCAAATGTGATCGCAGTACATCTACCATCGCCTGCAAACGACAGCAAGCTTCTCGAATGAATGAGAGCCAGCCGGTGGCTCCTCGCTGCGTGTCTCCCATTGAAGCCATGTCCACGTATAAACCGCCTTGAAATCTGCGCCGACGATCTCCCACGCTTCCTTACCTATCCCACGTCTAACGGGACTGCCACGTCAGCGTAACCGCGAACGTAGGGCAAGACACGTGGCTCGAGCTGCCCATCGTCAGCCCATGCGGGCGCCCGATCGCGTGGAGGGCAGCCGGGCCCTGCCGGCTGCAACCACGCAGAGTGTTAGCGCTCCTTTGCGCTAATTCCTGCGGTCTGACTCTCATGGATGATGCCGTTGACCATTTTTCACTCCGTTCTCAGCCGGGGACACAAAGGGAAGTTTCGGGAAAGTCGTGGATAACCAGGGGAGTTATCCAAATCAGGGATGTCGGGGATTGTGGAAAACAAGACTGGGTTTCGACAGACTTGCTAAGAACCAAACTACCAAGATTACGCAACATTCATGCCAATCTAAGTAAGCTCATAGCTGCCTGTCCAAATGACTGGGCAGCTACCCTCAAGCGTCCCTCACTGCAGGTACACAATACTTGGGTAAAGAGAGAAGGAGAGGAGAACTGGGTATGGAGGGTAGTAGGACCAGACATTCCCGCTTTTTTTTTTTTTTGAGAAAACTACGGCGCAGTCAGGGTTACAGTTTGTAATTGCATTTGAAACTGCGTTTTAGCAGTTTAGTCAGGGCCCAAGTTTCAATTGCATTTGAAACTGCGTTTTAGCAGTTT